CCAAGAGACAGCAACCAAAACCGGCGCACGAATATGCGTGGTTAATGGTTGTACAAACTGGAACTGAAAAACTCAGATTTATCGACGCCGATAACGAGGATTTCGGTAGGGTAAGATACGGGGGCTGAGCGAAACGTTTGCGGATATGCGGTACACGAGTACAGATGACCGAGCAAGGAAAACACGAAGTGTAATCTATTATGAATATTGTTCAGTGATTTCATCTCACAACCAAATATCAACACAGCCGAGCTCAGCTCACAAGTCATACGGGCGTCGCTACACTTGGACTGCACGAATGGAACCCAATGGAAGTCACTGGAGGGCGGTGATTTTTCTACGACTACAAATGTGATTCAAAGTAGTAGCAACAGCAGCAGAGTGGTGATCATTTGCGATCTGTCTTTGGTGATGACATGCCTTCAGGAAGCACTGCATTTGAGTGGTTTGCGGAACTCCAACGTGATAGACTCTGCAACTGGTTGGTTGGAGGCAGATATGGCAACTAAGCAACAGCAGTGGCGTTTCGATTTCATTTCTTATCAGGTCAGAATGCTTGAAAAGGTATGTATGCACGCTTAGATTGTGCAATCCGTGTGTTGACCTTAGAGGCTCACTTTCGTTGCCTCCCTTCAATTAGGCCCAATCCCTCTCCATCTTATACTTTATCACGTGATTTGTGTACATTGTGAGCTTGGCAGAGATCAGTGAAGTTCGCTTCATTGTATCTCGCTGTATGATGATGACAGATGGTCCCTGGATTATGAGACAGTGCGGTTGACCTGTGGAGGCCACCACAGCAGACAGCGTTGCTGTTGTGCAAGCAATGATGGAGGAGGATGCGTGGGTGGCAGTCGTACAGCTGGCGAAAGCCATCGGAATCTCATTGGGACCATAACCGGCCATGTGGCTACTGTACCGCTCGTACAGCAAAGCAGTCTGCGGAGATTGGTACCCCATCAACTGTCTGCCGAAAGCACTGCAAACTGTTGTCAGACGTCGCCCAAGGGCTCGAGTACAAAGGACCTTGCTGCACTATGACAACACACCTTCACACAAGTCCCATGTCGTCAGCAACTTTCCGGCAAGAGAACGCATCCAGGAGATTGGCCACCCTACAGTCCAGATCTGGTTCACTGGGACTTTTTTGTTCCCAAATATCAAGCGCATGATGAGTAAAATCCGATACTAGCCAGCTGCAGCGGAGGCCTTCATCAAACCATTCGAAGGGTTACCCGCTTCCGCATTGTCGAACCAGTTCAACAAATCGTTTAAGCGCATGGAACTGTGCATTAACGTTAGTAGATAATACATCGAGAAATGTAATGCATACGTTTATGTATGTAGCAAATGGAACTGTTTGTGCATCCCGAAAACGTTTTTCACAACCCTCGTAATACGGATGTCAAACCGCAGAAAAGGACGCTAATGAATGAGCAGAATTCCGTCAGTGGGCAAATCAGATGCTGAGCAGAAGTAGTGAACGAAACACTTTGACAAACGATTAAATGAGAGTAACCCTGGGTGTGGAATCGCACTACAAGCAAAGAGCCAAACTGTTTTAGGATGTAGGAGAAATCGGCACAAACAAAGGAAAACGAACCTTCATTTTGTTCTTAGCTGAAGGATCCAGTGGAAGGGAAACAACCGTATTGTCATGGGTGAGTTTGGATGAATCCCTTGTGTGGGCAGGTTGCTTTGAAGTGTTCGATGCTGTCGATCCATCGCTTAGATTTCGCGCAGCCCGTCTCATCCGTTCGATAGCCAGTTCCCGAGCTATCAACTGCTTGGTTGTGAAGGTCGCATTGCGCAACGCGGATTTTATTGCATTTCCGAAACATACGACCCCATCGAGTTCACTGAACAAGGAAATCGGAACGAAAGTAGTTTCTATGTGGGGCGGTTTGAAATAGGTATGAAAAAACTTGTCGCCTACGCGAAAGAGACAAGTGCCGCAGTTGTATTGTTAGACTGATAACAGAAACGGCTTCAT